GCTTCCTGGCGCGATATAAGGGCAATCAGAATGACAACGCGAGAGGTGCCGAGATACGCGGCATAGCCGCTCGCAAATGTTCGAGCCAACACAACTATGCTCCCCCTTCTTTCCACCCAAGCCTTCTCCCATGTCAGGGCCCAGCGGTGCGACCGCTAAGGCAATCACCAGATCCTCCTGAGAAACCTGGTTCCCAACCGTCGTTTGATATGTTGGAATCCCACCAGCCCTTTGGGCGTGAGTGGTTTAGAGAGCTCTCTCTGTCCTCAACCCCCCTTCTTCCCCTTCGGGGAAGGGTTTACCCCTCCCCCTACCCCCTCCCCCTGGACCTGGATCGGTAGCCCCGAGCGTGGTCAGGTGAGTCTGTTTTTCGACGCCTGGGAGGGCCAAACAACAACGACCCTCACGAAGATTCTGGCCCCGAGGGGGGGGGGGTGCCGTTTGGCGCCTCCGCTCGTTTTTGAAGCGAACAAACATTGATTTTACTATGGTGGTGGCCCCATTTTGGCCTTCTGAGGGGGCCGCGCTCATCGTCCTTCTTAGCAAAATCATTGATGTTACGAAGGTGTTGGCCTCATTTTGTCCTTCTCAGGGGTCAGCGCTTATTTGCGCTTCTGAGGAGGTCGCAAGAGGCCCCAATATGGCCCCAAGAGGCCCCCAGGAGGCCCCCAAGAGGCCCCAAGAGGCCCCCAAGAGGCCCCCAAGAGGCCCCCAAGAGGCCCCCAAGGGGCCCCCAAGAGGCCCCAAGCGGCCCCAAGCGGCCCCCAAGAGGCCCCCAAGAGGCCCCCAAGAGGCCCCCGAGAGGCCCCAAGAGGCCCCACGAGGTCCCCAAGAGGCCCCACGAGGAGCCCGAACGACTCACACCAGGACGAGGGGCCCGAACGACTCACACCACGAAGAGCCCGAACGACTCACACCACAAGGAGGGGCCCGAACGACTCACACCAGGACGAGGCGCCCGAACGACTCACACCACGAGGAGCCCGAAAGACTCACACCACGACGCGGGCACCGAACGACTCACACCACAAGAGGGAGCCCGAACGAGTCACACCACGAAAGGAGCCCGAACGAGTCTCCACCAGGAGGAGGGGCCCGGAACGACTCCACCAGGATGAGACCGAGGAACAACCCACACCGCGGAGAAGCCCAAAAAGTCTTCACACACCACGAAGAGCCGAAACGACTCACACACAGGGAAGAAGGGCCCGTACGGACTCCACAACCAGGACGGAGATTCCCCAAATAGACTCAATTACGAGGAGCGCCTTTTCTTCCCTCCTCCTCGGCCTGTCCTTCCTCGCCCACCCCTCCAATTCACTCGTTGGAGGATGTGCAAGCAGGCGGGACGAAGGAGGAACAGGGGAGATATGCGGGCCCAAGCGGACACACGCCTGAAGAAAAAATATTCACTGCGTGGAGCTCCCCATATGTGCATCTACTCGCATGGACCTGTCCGCCGTGAATGTCTAGGCGCAAGAGCTTTCGAATATTAACGGGTTTCAGTTGTGACGGTATGGACATCAATCTAACTGCGAATGAATTGGAGTGTGAATGAGCCTCAGTAGTACGAGCGCGTCTCTGTGCATGAGCCTGGGGCCTCCTGGGGCCTTCTGAAACCTACTGGGGCTTCCTGGGGTCTCCAGGAGCCTCTTGGGACCTCCTGGGACCTCCTAGGAAGGTTTCGTGCCCCAGGAGAGGCGCAATCTATAGCAACATACGTACATAAAACATTGCGGATTAGAGCCACAGGAGAAGGGCAATATATAGGAACACGCGTAAACACCAAGGACTCGTGCCCCAGGAGAGGCCCAATATATAGGAACATGAGTAAAACATTTAGGATTGTGTACACAGGAGAAGGACCATCTATAGAAACATGCGTAGAACATCAAAGAATCGTGCTCCAGGTGAGGCCCATTCGATAGGAGCATACG